AACGAATAGTGGGATTCACCGTCACATTATAACGCCCCCACGGCTGAAAGGGCGAGCATGTTTGGTGTGACGGGGATTCGAACCCGCGACCCGCAGATTGCGAGTCGAGTACCCTAACCACCTGGCCATGCCGGGCCCAATCTCATGAGAGAAAACCAGTTTTACCCGGCATCCTGACGTCAAAGCTCTGGGATAATTGGATTCAACATCGTGGACTAAAATCCTTATATCACGGTGGATTATCTCATCTATAAACCTTGAGTTCGCAGAAGTAGAGAAGTATCGGTGCTGCCCGTTACACTGCGACAAACTTAATAGCATTTAAGAATGTAATGTTTATAGTCAGAATCTTAGGTTAAGCTGAAAATACAAAAAAAAAAAACCTGTAATTTTCCTTCCATTGAAATGGGCTCATTTATAGAGATGATTTTCAAAAAAAGTTACTATTGAATCATTTTTGGACATTATCAGTAAAAAAATGACAATGAAGGCAATGTTTAACAACGAATCTATGAGACAACCAAACCACGTAGGGTATTTCATCTTTAATGAGAATTTCGTAAAATATCATAAATATATCTGTATAGTTTACAAGAGCAGATTAACATTTTTATTGCTGTCAAGAATTCAACGTAATGTATTAATTGAAACCTTGAGATTATTACCTTAACTCTTATAGAAGGTAAGTCGTAAGGATGGACTATATATTTATTTTTTTACAGACGTATACCACGATGGACTGTATATTTAATTGTTTACAGACGTATACCACAGTGGACTGTATATTTAATTGTTTACAGACGTATACCACCGTTAATAAATTTGTTCCACAACAAGTACCATTCCTTCTTATCACAATCTTCACAGACTTTAACACAGATGGGTTAGGTATTACATCCTTTCCAGAGTATATGCATACATATTTAATAACTGAAAACAATCTCAAAGTATCTAGAAATACATCTATCTTAATATTTCATATAGTTTTAATGACTTTAAATGAAAGAGTCATATTGAAGTGTAATATTCTAGGACAATTTTGTTCTTCAAAAATAAAAGCATGAAAATGACCAAAAAAGTTCGCCTGAAGAGCAGTGCTGCCCGTTGAGCATCATAAACTACAAAAAACTGTTATTTTGTAACAAAGGCTTAAGATCTTGTTAGGCTTACTTTACAGTTATAAGTATTCAATGAAATGTAAGATATATTACCGTCTTAGAGATTCCAAATCTCTGATCTTAACACATCTTTAAGATCTGAGTATATGAATATTGTGCGTCAGAAAAGACTGGCCCCCCAATGGCACAGCGGTATGTCTGCGGATTTACAACGCTAGAATCCGGGTTTCGATACCCGTGGTGGGCACAGCACAGATAGCCCATTGTGTAGCTTTGTGCTTAATAATAAACAAACAAACAGAAAAGACTGTTACATATCCATCCCAAAAGTGAACACTTTTCATTGGCATCACACAACTTACGTAAAGCCAAACAATGTAAATGGCATCACACAACTTACGTAAAGCCAAACAATGTAAATGACATCACACAACTTACGTGAAGCCAAACAATGTGAACACTTTTCATTGGCATCACACAACTTACGTAAAGCCAAACAATGTAAAAATGTGGTTCTGATACATTTCGTTCCACCACACTTGTTACGTAACTTCCTGATTTAAATATTCAAAATCGTTTTAATATAATGTAATAATTCGTGGTGCTTTAGCACATGATATCTTCCTCGACCAGAAGCGATGTAGTGTTTTTGGGTGGCAGGGAAAGGAATAAGAGATTCTGGTATTTGGAAGCGTTACATAAACCATTAAAAATTCCGTAATCTGTTATATCCACATATGCAATCCATATGATGATAACGCATTTAAGACGAGAGTTATGAGCCATCAAAGAGTCAAAGGGTTTCGGAATGGCCTCACCACCTTACCAGCATCAGTCACAAAACCAAATTGATAATCTCATGTTTGATTTTCAAATCAATTCTCTATTTGAGGTTGGAGACTTTATTCTTAATCTGCTTATTTGGGGGAAGGATGCTACTATTATAATTACTGCCCTTGTCCCATTCTCTAAACTTAACTAAAACAATTATATAAAAAATAAACACCTCAAAGCCAGCCCTTATCATTCATATAGTTATCAAGCTTTTCTTAAATTCACTTAACTTTACTGCCTCTACAACATATGAAGGCAACCCATTCCAAAAGCCAACCATCTTATTAGAAAAATAAAACTGTCTTAGCTGAAGATGACTCCTACCCTGCCCAAATTTATATTTGTGTTCCCTAATTTTACCATTCTCACCATTAATTAAGAAACAAGATGATGCATCAACACCATCAATTATCTTAACAATCTTAAACACCTCAATCAGATCCCTCTTTAACTATTTTTTTCAAGAGAAAACATTTCAGAGA